TCTTGTCACCATGTATTACAGCAAAAATTAAACTTTATTTTGTTCTTAGGTGTAAGTTATGAACAAGTAAATACCAATTAAGAAATCATATAACATTCTGGTGTATTTCAGAAAAAAAAAAATCTTTAGTTTAGCTTGCTGAAATACTATATGTGTGAAGAGTGTGCCACTTTTATAAATTAGCCTTGTTACACAGCACTGAATTCCAAGCATACATTGGTGAATGTCTACTAAACAGGTTGTTGTTTTTTTTTTTTCCTTTGTATTTGGGGAGTGTAGTGTCCCTTTAAAGTTCTAAAATCTTGGAACTCATTATCTAAACAAATTTGTGTTTATTAATTTGCCAGAAATCATTTCACACTTTTAGCCTTGGTGCAAAATATATAGTCACACCAGATCTATATACAAGATAGGGCGCCACAATCATACAGGTGTAACAATATTAACACATCAGTTGATAAATGCAAGTAAATGGAAGAAAAAAGATTATAGTATAGTAATTTATTAACAACAATTATATAATAGAAAAAGTTAAAATCACACTCACAAAAGAAATGGCACAATTAAAAATATTCCTAAATTGTGCAAAAAAAGCTTATAAGCCACTCAAAGGGCTAAGTTCCCTGGTGCAGCCTTTAGTACCTCTCGGTTACAACAGTTCCACTTCCTCAGATCTCCAGATGTTCAATTTTTTGTCTTAAATTGTATTACTTTCCCTAATCAGTGAATGAAAAAATAAATGTTTGAAAAAACAGCTTTGTGGCTCATTAAGGTGGATACATATGGTATTGCAAAGCTAACCCTTGTTGTTTTTTTGTTTTTTATAGCTCTATCTCGACCACTTCCTGTCACTTTCCATCGAGGTAGGTAACATTCTTTTAAACTGTGCTGTTTGAACATGTCTGTCAACTGTAATGCCTATGAAGGGACATCTAAAGGAATACTCCAAAGTACTATAACCACTACAGTACTCTGGCACTCCCTATTGTAAGTAGTCAAACTGTTTTAGATTAGTTTGACTTGTTACCTGTGGTCGGTCTGTCTGAGCTTGGCAAGGCGTAGCTCATTGGCTAAGAGTGATCATCTGAAACGTCTGGCTCGCTGTGGTGTTTAACACTTTAATCCAGTAAATAAACAAAACCTTTTTTTCCTGTATTCATTTACATTATATGCCCATAATATATAAAAACATTTAGGGTTATTCACTAAACTAGAAACTGTAGAGAAATAAGGAGCTTCACATTTAAGACCAAATAGAAGTTCAATAATTTTTCCAGTTTGTCTATTGTGACCCTAAATGTCAATTGACCAAGGCTTAAATGTACGCTATAGGCATGGTTACTGCTTAATCTCATTGAAGTGGTTATATTTTCTCAAGTCAACTGACTCCATCCTTTTTTGAATGGTTTATTTTTAGACCTCCCAGCTTCCCAAGTCTTCTTCACTGCTTTGGCAAATAATTAAGCATTGCCCTGACATAGCTAGACAGAAGTGTGTAATCACTGCCAGGCTGGTTTTGACCAGGGACCATTTTTTTTACTTTTAAACCATTTCATATAGTATCTACAGTGTCCCTTTTAATGAATAAGTCTGACTACCTCCGAAAAGGAGTCAAAAATAGTTGGTTCCTGTATCAATGTAGTTTCTCTGGTTCAAGCATTGAGCCTGACACATCCACCACTGCTATTCACTGTGGCCAAGTAGAACAGAAAGTAGCCAGAGTAACCTCTTTTTTAGTCTTTTCCTAGTGACACAGCTGTTCTTACTGATATCATTTTGTTCTTGGGTAATGATGGGTACAGACAGCCATGGACAGCTATGTTTTACTCTGTGACAATAGTGTGGATTGCTCAATGTCCCAATTGCAGTCTATCTTTTCTTTATTTCACTTTATGTGGTGTTTTCACGACAACACTAGACACGATGAATGTGAAAAACGTTTCAAATTTATTTTTTTTATCTGTGCCTCCCATGTTAAGAATGTCATAGGTTTCTTACCACTTGCAGCTCAGTAATTGGTAGTCAAGCAAACCCTTTTACTGTGGTTTATGATGTATTTTCCTTTGCAGCATTTGACATGGTTTATGATCCTATGCTTGCCATGGAAACGCTCATATCCCTGGGGTTTGAAAGGGTACTAACCAGTGGATGTGACAGCTCAGCCCTGGAAGGTCTCCCTCTCATCAAAAGGCTTGTGGAACAGGTAACAATGGAAGTTAATGCTATGATTAAACAGAAGGAAACTATACATTCTCAATTAAGTGCATATAACCTCATGATTACAATTGTGGGGGAAATAAATTCAAATAAAAATGAAGTGAAGAGGTTTATTTTCTAAGCAGGTAATTGAAACATAGGTTTAAAATGTAGCACAATTACCATCTATTTTATTTCCTCCTGCATTTTGCACATTACATTGAATGCAACACCATGCTCAACACTGTTCTTTACTGATTAGTGGATAAACCCAGGTAAATACTGTAAAAATAGTGCTCGGGTAACACTTAACAGTAGAAACTCATTATAAAGTGATCTTGTGAATACAAGGCAGGAAAAGAGAGGCACGTACTTCTGGGTAATAAATATACAAAAATAATTACCACATCTCAATGAAGGGAGGCTGAAAAAAGTATAAAAAAAAGCAGCTAGTCTCTATTGACTTTGTGCGTCTACACCAGGCTTCCCCAAACTCTGGCCCTCCAGATGTTGCTGAACTACAGCTCCCATGATTCTCAGCCTATCTATTTCATTCATAGAATCATGGGCGTTGTAGTTCAGCAACATCTGGAGGGCCGGAGCTTGGGGAAGCCTGGTGTACACTGACGCTTCCTCGGCATCTAGTGGATAATCCTCTTAATTCAGTCTATCCAGCCTCTCCTTCAGATTTACTCTGAGTGTATACATGATTACAGTGTAATATATGTTCAACACCAATCTCCATTTAAGGCCTTGGAATGCTCGTGACATGTATGATATGCCGAGCCTAAATTTGTATGTATATCAATTTTACTTTCTGCTTACTATGTATTTTCCCCTTCTCCTCTATAATTTTAGAAGTATGTTACTTAGATTAAAGTTTGGCAGTCTGAAATAAAGTGCCTGTATTCACACGGTTTAAGGGTGTACACATTGGTATCCATAAAATAATACTTCTTATCCTTTCAGGCAAAAGGAAGAATCCTAGTAATGCCAGGTAACAAAACCTCCTTTTTTTTATTTTTTTTATTTAATGAAAGGCTGTTCTATGTAAAAAAAATAAAGTGTCCTTATGTGTACTGCTTAGTGCGTCTGTTTGCAGTTGCAGACCGTCCTCTCCAACAAGCAGTGGTGTAATAAAAGGGCCTACTCATGTGATAGGTAGCAGGGGGGGCACAGTGGGGATGCCGTACGGCATCACTCTGCACTGACTTCCCACCTCCCTTGCATGCACCCAGTACTGTTGCTGGAGCAGGATATGACATCATCCCAGCACAGACAACATTACAGAGATGTAGGGAGTTGGAACATCAGGGACTGATCCCAGGGCAAACAAATGGACACCAGGGAAGAGGTAACACTCCATCTCTCCCTGTCAAGGTAAGTGTAAGTACATGTGAATGTTTGTTTATGCGTGTATATGGATGTTCGTTGGTGCGTGTACTTTCCATAGCAAAAGGAGTTTTGGAGTTGGGCAACCAAGAGCAGCAGGGTTATATGACGTATGTAGCATATACCCAAATAATCATCACTATCAGTAAAGCCATGGTATGGCAATTTAAAAAAAAAAAAAAAATCATCTCCGGGTAAGTGAGAGCCTATTCTGCACAATAGGTACAAATATGGCATAAGTAGCTTGGTACTGTTCCAGGCTGAATTTTTAACTACCCTAGAGTGCTCCTTTTTTTTTTTTTTTTTTTTTCCCCGTTGTTGTTTAGTTTTCTTAAGTACATGTGCTTGTGCTACCTCACTGCAGGCGGTGGTATCACAGAAAGGAATCTGCAGAGGATACTTGAGGGTGCGGGTGTTCAGGAGTTCCATTGCTCTGCCCGATCTACTAAAGACTCCATTATGAAGTACAGGTAGAGCACCCAACATATCACAAGTTAAATATAAAACCCTCTAAATACAAAATGAAGAATCCTGCAGTATCTTTTTGTATCTTTTTGTTACTGCTTATTCCTATTCTTGTAGAATGTGCATTTAATATGTTTTTTGGGAGGGGGGTTTTATGCAGCAGGTTAACTTATTTATAAATATCGTCCACTACAATTACAATTTAACATAATGTTGCGAGAAACAAAACGGAACCATCTATATTCCCTCAATTAGTTAAAATGCAAGCTTACACTTACATGGTGTCTGTGAATGGTAAAATATATAAAAGTAAGCATAAACAATGTGGTAGAGTGCTTTTAAGGTTACATATATGCTCATTTCCAGGAATAACTCTGTCTCCATGGGAGCTACTCTTTCTACCTCTGAGTATGCCATCAAGGTTACAGATGTGGCAAAAGTCAGGACATTGAATGCTATGGCAAAAAATCTCCTATGAAAGGACCGCACCATATTACCAATTGAACAGGGCTGGTGGCAATGCTTGCATCAACACAATAACATCAGCAATTCTCCTCCTTTTTGGATGAGGTCGTTGTATGAGCCAGTACCGCATGGCTGGATTTGTTTTTTTGGGTTTTTTTTCGTGTACATGTTTTGAAGAAGGAAAAAATTAAAAACATCTGAGGATACTGCAAATACACCGTAAAACCGATCACGGTTGAAGACCTGAGTGCTGCCCACATTCACTATTGTGCACAATCCTTTGTGTTGCAAAGCTACCCATAAAGACCTCCTAGTTTTTTTTTCCTGATATATTGCAGATAATGTATGAAGAGCACTACTGTGGCATTTTCCCGTGGAAGCCAACTACCTATAGCTGGTTGCTGCCCTTCAGCATTACACCACAACAGCTCTTCATGTATAACCACTATAAATTGCAAATTAGCTATTTTACTCTTGATTCCCTTTAGTTTAGTAATGTTTAATCACCAATCCTCTGTGACATGCAGGAGTTCAGTTGAATTTCCGTTTCCAAATTACCTATTCCCACCACTTCCCTTTTAATCATGATAAAATGGAAATCTCAAAATCCTCAGTCAAGTAAGATTTGCATGATGGTCCTTTTTTATTTTTGTGTACGTTTTAAGGTATGCTCTGTTTACAGACTCAAAATTCCCTTTTTCGCCTTTTCAATAAAATTGCTAAGATCAGGTTACCTTTTAATTTTTTTGTGATTTTTATTTTTTTTTTGTTAATAAAGATACAATTGTTTTTATTTTTTGAATGTGGAAATGATTTTGTTTTCTGCTTACACCTGTTTAGACAGCCTACACCAGCATATCGTCCAAGCATAAAGGAAGTCACAGGCCACAAAAGCTGAAGTGACTAAGGTCTATTCTTCCTTTGATTTAAAGAACTGAGCATGAGCCTTTGGCAGACTGATAAAATGTCAGTGTAGTCTTGAATGATCCATCATCTGTGGTCTTTCTGTGAAGCAGTCATTCAATAAGACACCTGATATACAATGAAAGAAAATAATGCAGATGTACTTTGAAATAATTCGATATGATCAACCTATTATAGATTTAAGATTGGGGACAGCATATATAAAGTGATTCTAGATTCTAATTAATTGGGTGAATTGTCATTTTTAACCCCTTAATGACACATGACATGTCATGATTCCCTTTTATTCTGGAAGTTTGGTCCTTAAGGGGTTAAATGCTGCTTATATGAACACAATCTTACTATTTGGTTATTTACTGATAGCACTTTTAAATTTAAATTTTTTGATGCAATCCAATTTTCAAAATGTTTTTTTAAACCTATTCAAAGATTTAGACTTGGAAAATACGCCTTAAATGACTTGTGAATAAGCAGAATTAACTCTAAAAATACCTACCCCAATTTTAGTGACTTATGGAAACTACTTCTACTAATGGAGCATTGTTAAAGAATATCAAGTACCAATAAGTACTGTAATAACATAACATGGAAACATTGAGAACACAAAACGAATGCACATGTATACTACACCCAAAATGTCCAATATGAACACGGTTAAAGATTCATTCAATGTTGATGTATAACGTGATTTGGTAATGAATGTCGCCTATTATCAGGTCAGATCGGTCGAAGATGGATCCATTTTGTCATTAACGGAACACTGTAGGCACTTTAACAACTTCATCTATTTGACGTTTTTATAGTGCCTTCAGTAATGGCACTTATTAAGGCACTCAGGTGGCCACAACCAACTTGTATACAGCAAAGCTAAGATTTGTGAATCGCTTAAAATGAATATCTATATTTGAAACCTATGTGGACATTTTGTCTCATGGCTATTTTTTTTAATAATATAAAGGAAAGCCTTTCTGGGTACCAGGGTTATTTCAGTTTTTTTTTTCTAGATTCACGATGGACTGAAAAGAAAGTCTAAAAAAAAAGTGTCCACTAATGATTTCTGCTTATGTCATTAAAGTTTAATAAACCACAACATCCATGAAATAATAAAAAAATAAAAAAAAGACAAAAAAACAAACCAACTACATGCAACAAAAATGCAGTGTCATCCCTCGTCAACTGGGACAAAAGGGAGATATGACTAAATGGTCAGCCATGCTTCATGAAAGTGAACTCTTTTCTCTTGTGCTATAAACAAGGGCTGGGGGTTCAATGTGCAGAAATAATCTAACAGTCAAACAGCTCATCCGTTAATAATTAGGAGAGGCCACCCCTTCCCTGTAGGAGATATAGAAAACATAGAAGGTTTACAGCCAGTTGGATTACAGGAATACGTTGTCACCACAGTTGTTGTGTATCTCTGATAAACAGTGTTTTGCAATATGAATGTAAAGCTTGGAAAAATAAAGGGGTACGATCTGTTTTCGCAAAATTATACCCTTAAATCAAACATTAAAAAGTTCATATGTGCCTCTTTGTCATGTGATGCTCTGTTTCCTTTTAAATGTAATTTTTTTTTTTTAATTGGCAACTGACCTCACAGGGTCAAATCAGGCCGACATTGTATTGGAGTTGAGTTTTGTTTTTTCTTTTCTTTTTTCCTAATAATTTTATAGCTTTAATTCATTACCATGCTGGTCTCCTCACAGCAGCCACTCTGCATGCACTGAGATAATTGATGATGATCTCATAGAGAAGCATGCTCAGCCAGTTGAATGCTTCTCTTATCCCAATGCTTCTGTATGACAAGAATTACTATTGTCATGTTGTGTGTGATGCCACCACATGTGAAGCTTTGAGTTATTGAAAGTCTTTACTGGCAAGTGCCTCTTTCAGCTGACTGACAGTGACTAAAATCACACTAACTGATATATGTAAACATTGCTGTTTCTCAGAAATAACAAATGCTGACATAGGTCAGACTGCAAGGACAGGGTCTCTGTACCAAAATGACAGCATTAAGATTTAGCTTATGTAATTCCTTTGTGAAAAATGGCTTGTCAGAACTGTCACAATAGAAAGGGATCAGCATAATATACCTATACCACAGATGATTTAAAGATCAGCACCGATCATCTGTTGATCACTGCAGGAAATGTTTACCATTTGTACCTTGGGTATTGTGAGAACACTTCCATTGATTTACAACTTTATAATAAAAGCAGACATCGGGAATCTTATACTTTGTCTAAAGCCAATGTAGGGGCAACCATCATTCAAAAAATTAGCATTTGTGGTGACGATGATTGGTGAAAAACACAATCCTTTCTGATACATGTAAAGAAATATAAAAATGCTGCACAAATTCCCGACACTGTATCCATTTTACCTATCTCCATCATAGCAAAATGCTGCACATGCAGACTCAAAGTACCATGACCACTTCAAACTATTAAAGTGGCCCATGTGCCTGGGGAAAACTTTTTAACATTGATTTATTTTGTTTGCTTGCTTTTTGTCCTATTTCCTTTTAATAACAATGTCTACTCTTCAGTGCCCTTGCTATTACATCTCTTAACTGCTCACCATATACACTGTGTAAAGTAGATGTCCAGTGATGTACAATTACCAACAGTTCTGTTCAATATATGTGTCAATAATATATAATAGCAAAAAGGGGTTTTAGTCAGAACAATGAAAGTGTTATATATGTCAATGGGAAGGAGATTCTACTTAAGGTTTTTGCCTCCTGATATATGACTAACACTTTGCGGTATGGTAGACTGAGGGTTCAGTCAAAAAATGAATAGTAACCAATTACAGAATACCCACTCTGAGAACCTGTGCAAGTAGCTTCAGGCGCCATCTTGGTGAAGTTACGCTACACCCTAAGATTGTTGTACAACTTTGAAGGGTCTTGTGAATTGGGATGGTCCTCAAAATCTGGAGGTAGTGAGTGAAATTGCTAGAATTGTTTGTGTATGTACTGGTATGGTTCTAAAGCCTTTTAACCTATTAACCGCTCCCTGTTTCATCTCAACGACGATAAAATATAAAGTGTGTTAAAATTTGACATTTAATTAAAATGTATGTCATGTTATTTTTGTCCCATGTTTGGCATTTCATAAAGTAAACTTATTTCTATTTCAGGCATTTTAGCCTTTTCCTTTTTAATTCTCTAATCTTGATTTTGTGAATAAAGCCCTGTACATTGTTTCTAAAATCTTGTTAATGTGATCCTAATAATATCTCTCCAAATGTGCTATATATATATTTTTACATATGACTCTCCTACTGATTGGAGTTGTTGGGGTTTTTTTTATAAATAATTTTCTTTTATAACCATACAGTTGGGCATCATGGTAAACATGGTACATATCAACAGGAGTGTCAAATGTTTATTGGTTGGTCTATATGAGCATTTTATCAACACTAATCACTATTTTATTAGATGTGCAATTTTCTAAATGATTTTAAACTTTGCTCTCGTTATCTAACAAACTGTATTTAACTTTTAAACATTAGTTCAAATGACGAATACTTAATTGGCTGTTGAATCATGTCATCCTGTTATGGAATATATTTAGAAACCTTTGAAAAGTAAGACCCTTTGCATTACAAATTTTATTTTGTGTTGATCTAATTTTGGATCTCCTAGTCCGTTATAAACAATATATTGAGATAAAGCTACTTGCTATAGATATTGCTCATACAAATAAGTGTTATATATATTTGTTTCAAAATCTATTAACATTGTATAAATGAAAGTAAATCATGTTTACAGACAAGCGTATTGATTATGACCAATACACTGTAGAATAAATATTGTAGGGAATATTCCTCACTATGTCCACCCACAAGAACATCTCATTTTGTCATTGCAAATGTACCTCTGCCAGTATATCAGTATTTCATCTCAAACCTTTCTTGTATCAGTTACTTTATTTTCTAGACATACTTGTAAACATTTCAGTTTTGTGTGCGAGATTTCTTTATATATGCATGGCTGTTATAGATGTATGTTAACTTTAGTTATTTCTCCTCTTCTGCTTTATCCTGTGGTGCTTGTTTCTCAACTTGCGTTATATATTCCACAATTAACCCCAACTGCATTTTTTGTTTTTTATTCTTCCCATATCTCCCCCACAGAAAATCGAATGACTCTTAATTAACTCGTACATTTCCTTCTGCCAACAATTCTACATTACTTTCACTTTACTTTATAGACGAGAATTCTTCATCTACTTAAAATCCTCTTTAATTATTTCTAGTTCATATTCCTATCTCCTGTTTGTTCACAATTGTAGCATTGGATGTCACTTTGTTTTCTCCACCAGCAATATGTACAGGGGTGTAACTAGAAACCACAGGGCCCCAGTGCAAGAATCAATTAAGTGCCCCCCCTCCCCCCAATCATCCTGTCCCCCCTCCCCTTTTGTGTGGTCATGGCAGAGTGTGATTGGTGACTGAGTGTGTTGGTGTGTGGGGTTGCCTAAGTGTATACCTTCCATGTGTCCCTATTTAGGAGGGACAGACCCTATTTTAGGCCCAAATCCCTCTGTCTTTCTTTCCCTCTCTGCACATATAGCGAATATCGCTATCTATGTGTGCAGCGGCGGGCCCCCGGCTCCCTGTTACTGCAGAGGGGGCCCAGCACACTGCGCCTACTCTTCTAATAACTCTCGCGAGACCCATGGCCTGCGTGCCTCGTGGAGCGTTGCCATGGCAACGCTCAGAAGGCCGCGGGTATCACGAGGGTTATTAGAAGAGAAGAGTAGAGGCAGTGTGCTGCGCCCCCTCTGCAGTAACAGGGAGCCGGGGGCCCCCCATGCCACCGGACCACCAGGGATGGAATCTCCCCCTTCCTTGGAAGCAGGGGGGGGGGGGAGAAACATTTAATTAAATATAAAATTTAAAAAAATAATGTGAAAATGACCCTTCCTCACCTCCCCCACCCCCAGATTGCACATTTACACACACACACTGCATACACTAATGTAACACACACACAGTGCATACACTAATGCAACACACACACACACTGCATACACTAATACACACTGCATACACCAATACAATACACACATTGCATACACCAATATAACACACACTACCTACACTAATACAACGCATACACCAATACAACACACACTCTGCATAAACTAATACAACACACACTCTGCATACACCAATACAACGCACACTCTGCATAAACTAATACAACACACACTCTGCATACACTAATACAACACACACTCTGCATTCACTACACACTAACACACTATCTGCATTCACTACACTAACACACACTCTGCATTCACTACACTGACACACACTCTGCATACACTACCCTGACACACACTCTGCATTCACTACACACTAACACACACTCTGCATTCACTACACTGACACACACTCTGCATTTACTACACTGACACACACTCTGCATACACTACCCTGACACACACTCTGCATTCACTACACACTAACACACTCTCTGCATTCACTACACTGACACACACTCTGCATTTACTACACTGACACACACTCTGCATACACTACCCTGACACACACTCTGCATTCACTACACACTAACACACTCTCTGCATTCACTACACTGACACACACTCTGCATTTACTACACTGACACACACTCTGCATTCACTACAATAACACACTCTGCATTAACTGTACACACAGCATCCACTACACAAACATCGTGTACTCACAGTACACACACTACATCCACCACAAATTGAAACACTCTGCATTCACTATACACAGACACTGCGTCTAATACACACACTACATCCACTACAGACACTGCATCCACTAAACACATTTCATCTAGTACACACAAACATTACATCCACTACACAAACACACACTACATCACTGTACACACACTACATCCACTTCTCAAACACACTCTGTGTTCACTATACACACTGCATCCGCTACACAAAAACACACTCTGCATTCACTGCACAAACCGTATCTAATACACACAAACACTACATCCATTACACACATTCTAATTCACTTCCACTCTACACACCACATTCAGTCTTGCATCATTGTCAGCGGACTAGGTGGGGGTGGGGGGAAGGGAACGGGAGGGGTGCCCAGACCTTGTGCTTTGTCAGGGGCCCCAAAATTTCTGATGGCGGACCTGGATGTAAGTGTGATTGTGTGTGTGTGTGTGGAGATCTCTGACTTTTATTATTAAATCTCCCCTTCTGCTTATGTTTATGCAGACAGGGAGTTTGATCCCTGGTAGTCCAGTGGTTGCTGGAAGGATCCTTGGTGGTCCAGCGGAGGAGGAGTATGTGATCTTCATCTCCAGGGTTAGCAGTCTACAGTACACCCTCATCCCAGTAAGAATGATTCAGAGCATTGCCATGGCAGCCTGGCAGCAACATTCTGACTCGTTGAAGGAGCGCGCACCACAAGTAAGAAAAATTGCAACATAGTAAACAATGATTTTGCAAGGGGGAGGGCTGACCAGCCTGGGTGACCCCTTGAGAGGCGGGCGAAATGCCATGGCCTGGTTGCATAAGCATTTGTCTTTGTTTTCGTTTAAGTTCTAATTGTTCTCGTCTAGGTGGTACTCAAACCATAGGCACATTAATTGGAACGATTAGAGTGCTATTCTTATGGTGGAAGTAGCAAAATCAGATGAAAAATTGGATATAAGTAGCAGAGTAACAAATTTACCAAGGCATGTTTAGTTTAGACGAGGGAAAAAGTAATGACTTGAAGGAGAGGTGCCCAAAAGGTAGATGATGTAAAACTACAAATCCCATGATTCTTTGCAAGCCTTTAGAATGCATTTAAAATGACAAAACATCATTGAAGTTGTAGTTTTAAACCATCTGGGGATCTAACTTTTCGTCACCCGTCCCTAAAGGATTAGTAAGAAATTCAGAAACACTGAGAAACAGAATTTAGGGAAGATTACTTGTTTTATTTTGGAGAGGTTACCTTACAGGTAAGTAGTGTTGGTACATTCAAGGGTAGATGGCCAAGAGACAGATGGCAACATAACAGCATTATTACATTATATTACAGGATATCTTACTTAAAACCAGCACTCATTATTGAGAGTGTGTACGTTATTTCCCTTGGCTAATTGAAAGGTTTATTAAAGTCAATTACAAGAAATGTCCATCAAACAAATGAACAAAGCATGGAAAACAGCTTCTGCCCACACAATGAGGATCTGTCTAGTGCGACTTCCAGGATAAAAGTAGCGGAGTTATGAAATGCCACAATGGTTAAAATTTAACTGGATTCTTGATTGGGACAGTCCTGAACTGAGATGCACTTAGGTAGAATGATGTGGGTGAGGGGGGGACTTTTAACCTGCTGATTCACAGTGATAGCAATGCTCCTGACATAAACCACACAAAACATGTAACACGGTTTATTTCAGACAAACGTTTCGTGACAGTGTCACTGGAAGTAGATATTCTGCTCAGCCACGAATAAACATGTCTAACAGTCTGGATAAGTATTGCGGTTCTGTCTTCTGGGTAAGTCTATTCTTATATATTAAATACTTTGTTCATTACAGATGTAGTTTATAACTTGGCTGAACATGCTAGGGGTTTTCTGATTATCCTTAAGAGAATATCTGTTGAATATACTAGTTTAAAAAACTATTGAAGTCTCTGGTCGTCTTAAGTTGCTTTTATTCCGTATTTTAGAGCATTAAGTTAGGTTTTAAAGGGATAGTAAAGCTTTATTTATTTAACTTTCGTGGTGTTATTTTAAAGGCTGTGTTAACAATGATATGCGTGTTTCCTCTATTTAAACATTGTCAGACCTTGAATAGTGTGGTATAATTTACCTCTCCAATAGCGCATGGAAAAAGTTCCAATACAGTGCTGTCACAAAAGAACAAAGTATCTTTAGTATAAACATTTCATACACAATCTGTCATCTTGCTTTAGTTATATTATATTGAAGACGGCATTTGTCTTATTTAATTGATTGTGACAATGGTCTGCAAATTGAGTTCCCAGGAAGTAAACATACGCTTTATTGTTTCTTTAAATTAAATATATTTATCTACTGCCGTTGCATTCTAAGTCCTAGTTCTATTTTGTGACAGAACTGAATGCGAACATAATGGTCAGTAAATTATTGTGTTATACATTATGTAGTTTACAAAAAATGTATTATAAGCATTCTCGGATTGCTGACAATGCTTTACATGTATTGATTTTTTTTAAATAGTGGTGTCCAAAAGGTAGATCCCCAGATGTTGGAGAACTATAATTCCCATGATGCTTTGCATGCCTTTAGTATGACAAAGCATCATGGGAGTTGTCATTTTAAAACACATGGGGATCAACCAATTTTTTTTTTTTTTTTTTTTCTTAAAGTGTGTTAGTTTTCACTTTTGTAAGTGTGTATTTTTCGTTTTCAACAAAACAATTAAAAATATATTGTAGTATAGGCAAAATACTGAAAAATAACAAGAATATGACAAATTTAAAAAAAACAAAAAAAACCTGAGCAGCAGTTGACACTCTTTTTCTTACTTAAAAAAATTACACTTTACCAAAATCAATTAAACCAAAATTGTTATCCAAGACTATTCAACAATCCAAAAATGCCAAGACATTAATAGCTGACAAACAAGCACATTAAACTAAATACAGATAACTAGGGTTATTAAGTCTCATAAATTACAAACTCGAGACTAACAATGACAAAAGCCGATGACCGATAGACCGGATGAATAAGGCAGAAACAACAATATAGATACTTAAATTCCCAAATGATTTAGGCCACTTTGTCTCCTAGCAGTACTGAGATTCCTCTATGCCTTAAAAGTGGGGCTTGGGGACAATTGGCTACTATCTATTTGAAGGTTAAGGTTGTCATCAGCAGCTGATTAGATGCAGCAGTAGTGTTTTGAAACGTCTTTTTGCATAGTAGGAGTGAGACAGTAGGTAGGGAACATGTACAACTTGTCTTAGCTTAGCACTTTATGATTTTATGTCTGGCCTGGTGGATTGAAATCATGGTATTCTCAAGGCCTGGACTGGCTGAATTATATTTTTGGTGTACAGCAGTATCTGTGGTTGACCAGGCTGCCAGACCATGATGGGCATCTTTGATGTCCCTGGATGTGTTCACAAGTGACTGCAAGCTGAAATGAGAAAGTTCTAATGAAATTCATAAATCAATACAGTTGTTATTGCTACCAATAGTGTCCTGGGGAAGAGTCTGAATTTCTTAGGCATGCACAGATCTCTGTAAATAATACATCATCCTAAGCAGGTCGTAGATACGAACGTTGTACGGATGATGTCATACCTCGCAACTCAAGCTACCTCTATTTGTAAAATCAATATATTTTCTCAGTGTGAGTAGGACCATCCACACAGATATCTGTGAGTTGTGTGTGTGCAAAATAAGACATTCATTTGTACTTGATACAACAAATACAGGGTGCGCTAAGTTGGACAATGAGAGGTAATAAACAAAAATCAGCAATAATATAAGGAGTCTCTTAAAGTACAGCAAAGACCTGGAGTGTATATTCTTCAGTCCTTGCTTTGAATCCTCAGTGGCAAATATGAAATACAAAAGCAGAAACAGAGACCAATAGTGCAAAACCCTTTTAGGAAAGCTGGATCACGAACAACATAGAAGTAGAGAAGTGCCAACTCACAATATAAAGAGCTATGCCCAGCTCTAGGTAAAACAGCATACAGTGGTATTTAATACTCCCCACATGTAGGATATAACTGGACACTTGGAGGTGTATCCTCAAGACTTCTTACAGCATTCCAGATAAGATTCAGCATATAAAATACATAAAAGGGGGAAAAACCCAATGGTGCAATAACGTAGGTTAACTGCAACAACAAACAACACTGAGGTCCTTAGAGTGCCAACTTACAATTGGGAGAGCTATAACCAGCTCTGAGTAAAACAGCATACAGTGGTATTTAAACTCCCCACATGGAGGATATCCTTCTAGCGATGCTTGCAGTGCCGGAAATAAGAATCACAAGAGAGGGCCCATAGTGTTTACCGTATAAAAAATAGCAGTGAAAGGTAAAATGAAACGTACTTACAGTGTTCAGAGCAGCCACACTGCTCTATGAACCAGTACTTTCACTGTACTTTAAGAGACTTTTTATATTATTGCAAATTTTTGTTTATTATCTCTCACTGTCCAACTTAGCGCACCCTGTATTTGTTGTATCTTGTTCTCTCCATTGTTTGAAGGGTTTGAGGGTTACCCTTCCCCTCAGGTGTGCAGCTCTATTCTCCCCTGTGATCAGTACTGGAGCGCTGTTCCTCTCCTCTCCTATTTTTTTTTTTTTCTTTTCTATTCATTTGTACTTGTCCTCCGGGATAACATTTCCAAGCCCACCACTGATGTATGTGGAAGTACAAATCGATGACAGTTGGATCAAGGAAAAGAGAAACACAAAAAGAGTGCAATTGGGAAAAGTCACAGTGAAACATCACATCTAAAATTCCATAATCCCTTGATGGAGAGTTCAGGCTACCAATACAATAATAATAAATTATGTCACTATTTGTGTGTATATGTGTGTGTATTATTTGTATCGTCATGTTAGCATTTAACCAAGAACAGTTTAGCTTGTCATAAGTTTACAAGTGTGTGCTAGATAAGATTTTCCCATCTTCAACTTGGAAGCAGTTTATTTACCCTTTATTCTCTCATCCCGATATTCTCCCTCTGCAAATCTCTATTCCTTCTTCCCACCATTCTTTTTTTGTTTTTCTATTTCCCTGTATTACTTTGGCAGGCTCTTTCGTATGGGACAGTAATGGAGTGATGAATGTTGTGTGAGGGGACTCTTCTTGTATCGTTGTCTGTGAGGCTGCAAAGCTTCTTTTGTTGTTTTTCACTTGTAGACTGCTTGTAGTGTTATGCTTGTAGTGTTGTATGTGTGTGTTAGGATGATTATGTGTGTTGAGGACCGTGTGTGTGTAAGCTACCACCTGCTTGATGGTTTTTATTCCTTGTGGTCTAGTAGGTTGAGCTGGACCTCCATCAGGTGCTGATCACTTCAAACACTACTTCTGGCTCCGTGTTCATTAAGAAAGCACAGTGCTGGTTCTAGTGACAGTGCTCTAATTCACACAGTGCTGGATAGTGAGATAGCACACACAGTAAAAATGCACTTAAACTGATGAATGGGGCATACAATAGACCAGGGGTAGGCAACCTTTTAGCAGCACTGTGCCGATATAGGATTGAGATGGTCCTATTTTTTTTAAATTGAGGTGTGTATGCTGCTTGTGTTATTTTTACTGTAATTGCTTTGTATCGTTGTATTTGTGCGTATATGAGCTATTATATTGTATATTTTCATTAGTAGTTTGTGGTATAGTATATGATACCTATGAATGTGGGCTGTGTATGAGGGCTGCTTGTGGAATTGTGAGTGGATGGATATGTCACATTGTGTGTTTGGTAGTGTGTGTGTGTATGTGGGGCTGTTTGCGGTATTACATGTGACAGGCTGCATGTTGGGTTGTGTGCATGTATGTGGATTGTTAGCTGGTTACGATTGTGCGGATTGTGTGTATGTTTGTTGGCTGTTTGTATTGTTTGTGTGAGGGGAGGGTTATTCTGCATTTCTGTGTATATCTAGCAGTGCTGGTGGCTTCCCTGGGTTCCAGTGGGGACCAGCCTGGCCAGGTACAGGTCAAGGACAGGATCTGCAATAGCAGCTGTGGGCTGCTCTACTACAGTGGATTCCCATTCATAAGTGCTGGGAGGAACTGATCTGAGATCACTTCTTCTATGTGCTGCAATGCATAAATTGAGGATTGTCCTTCACCACCTTTTCGTATTCGCAGATATCTGAAGTTTTACTGGGACTCCTGATAGGCCAGAGCCTGTTTGGCTCTAGCAGCCTTAAGTGCCGTGCAAAGACACCTTGAGTGCCGTGCATGGCACTAGTGCCGTAGGTTGCCTACCCCTGCAATAGACCATAAATTACCATATTATATGTATGGTATGGAATCCATTACATGTATTTGGTAGGTGAGCAGTGATACCTAAAAAAATATAACTTTTACTTACCCTTTTCCAGCACCAACGCGCTCTCAGCATTGTTTACTTCTTCACCTTCCAATATGTCTCAATGCTCTAAAAAACTGCAATGTTTTATATTGCAGGGTTAAAAGTACACTGCACCCAGGCCACTTCACTAAGATAGTATCCCTTTATTTGATGGATGTTGGAGCACGTAAATCATAAACCAAGAGTTGTATTCAAAAGCCAGTTTAATTTTATGTTGGATATTATGATCCAGTTTAACAATAGAAGGAATGCTAACAATCAAGGGCAGGGTGCCCAAAGGGTAGATTCCCAGATGTTTTACAGCTACCACGATGCTTTGTTATTCAAAGCATCATGGGAGTTGTAGTTTTACAACATCTTGGGATATACCTTTTGGGCAGCCATGATCAAGGGAATGGTCTAGCAGAATGTTTGCACCACATGCTCGATGGCAAACTACCCATGTGCATTTGACGGGGGTGGGGGAAGGGAAGGCAAGCATAATGAAGGATCTTATAGTACATTTCTCTGTATGTAATGGCAGAAGTTTGTGTTTCTAAATATGGAGTAATAAAAGTGGATAAAGAAAACAAAATTGATGATTCCCGGTATGGAGACCACATGATATCTAGCTCGTAAATAGGAAACAAGGAGGATGGTTAAAATATTTTTTAGTGTCTGAGTTAGGAAAACAATTTGTGAATGGGCCAAATGGTGAACTATACATTGTTGGGGAGAAAAAGTGTTTGTTGACTGGGGCATCAGAAATAGTAAATCTAGGTAGGCAGCCATTAACATGTAAATGTATATCAGGTATGAGATAGTTCAATTACTATTTGTTTTATATGGGGGGGGGTCAAAGGTTATATTAAACAATAAGTGGGATAAGGGCCAGCCCTGTCAAACTCCCCTGCCTAGAGTAATTGGCAAATCATAGCCATTAGTTGTGATACAAGTAGTGGAGATGGTCTATAATTTAGAGGTAGGATATAGAAATCTGTCCCGAAAGTTTTGTCAAATCTTTTTTGGTGTTAAAACACTATGTTTCATAAACTTTGTGCTCTATATCTTTCAAATGTAGTGTAAAAAGAAGAATGCCGCCTTATTTTAGTGTTGTAATTACAGATACATGTTTGGATATGTGAATTCACTCCTACCTATTTTTGTTACATATTTCTGTCTTCTCACTATGTCTGCCATTATCTTTTTTTTTTTTTCCCCATCTCACTCTTCTAATCTTAATCAGAATATTTACAGCTTTGCTGTTCATCAGTCCACGGTAAGACAAATTGTCTATAAATGGAGAAAGTTCAGCACTGCTGCTACTCTCCCTAGGAGTGGCCATCCTGTAAAGATGACTGCAAGAGCACAGCGCAGACTGCTCAATGAGGTGAAGAAGAATCCTAGAGTGTCAGCTAAAGACTTACAAAAGTCACTGGCAAATGCTAACATCCCTGTTAGCGAATCTACAATACGTAAAACACTAAACAAGAATGGATTTCATGGGAGGATACCACAGAGGAAGCCACTGCTGTCCAAACAAAACATTGCTGCACGTTTACAGTTTGTCCCTACACCAAGTCAACCAATAGAGGAAACCCCATCCTTGATGTAATGCTAAAAATAAATAAATAAAACTTAACCTTTATTAATAATAGGTAAAATAATATAATGCAAACACAAAAATTAAAAAAAAAAGTATAATGAAAATGAGGAGTGCCACCACAATCACTGTGGATGTGGACAATGAAAGTCAATAATATGTTGTCCTCCCTGAGGGCTTTATTGAGTGATAGAGGAGACCTTCTAAAAGACAAAGTGGCATCAACAAAACAAGAACATATTCGCTGTGTAGCCACGTTTGATTCTGGATGGGACCAGACCAAACGGATACTAGGCAGGTTCTGGCCTCTGATCTCACAAGATCCCCAACTCAAGGGCGTTGTGACTCCATTCGTTTCCCTCACTGCACGAAGAGGTAGAAATCTAAAAGAAGTTTTGGTTCCCAGCCATTTGTCCACCAAAAGTGCCAGTACAAATTGGCTTTCCGTGCAGGGCACCTACCAATGCGGCAGGTGTGTGGCCTGTCAGTACATGATGAAAGATTCAAAAATCCTTTTAGACTCGACTGATAAATCAGTGTGTCAGGTTAAACAATTTTTTAATTGCAATACGAAGGGGATTATATATTTGCTGACATGTGTATGTGGCCTTAGATATGTGGGGAAAACCATCCGCCCCTTTAAGAGGCGTGTTATGGAACACATACATTCAGTCAGAAATTTCAGAGATACCCCGGTTTCTAGACACATTAGAAATTATCATCATGGTGACACGCGAGGGATCAAATTTGCAGGTGTTGAAAAGGTGCAATTGGGTCGTAGAGGATGTGACCTGGACCGTACCCTCCTCAAAAGAGAATGCTTTTGGATCTATAAATTCAATACATTTGCCCCCAATGGATTAAATGAAGGGTTTACGTTCACTCCCTTCATTGAATAATGAGTTACACAGTGAATAATATTTAACATCATGAGTAATGCAATATTACTTGATTTATATATACTCTAATTTTTGTAAATACTTTCGTTATTTGTTGATTAAATATGGATTGTAATGTCTCTTTTCCCCCCAGTTATATGTGGAACTCAAGCGTTGTCACCTGATCAAAACATTAGTGTTTAATAATATCTATATACTATCCCAACTATGAGTGATCAGGACCAAAGATTTCTAACAGATAGTCACATTTCCCCTTCTGTGTTAGTAAAAACATGTTTTTCTCATGTTCTGTCCCTTTAACTAACAAGTACATAATTCTTGTAAATAGTTCACTTTATTTTATCTTATTTCATCTTGTTCATTTAATTTGATTTATCATATAATCAATGAACAGTTTACCCACTTTAAATATCTGTTTCATTTAACCATGTGAATGACCAGTTGAACATTTAGGTGATGGCTCCCCAGGGGCACATTTGCATGCTCTGTCAATCACTCTTTGACTCACACAAGGGGACGGTACCTGTTTGAACGCCGTTTCGGCGCGAACAGGTTTGACACGCCCACATATTTTCAGACTCGGTACACCTATATAAGAGCCGGGCAGGGGATAGACTGTTGCTTTACCTCTGACGAAGGCGCATTAGAGGCGCTGAAACGTGTGTTAGGTAGTCTAGTTTGGAGTTGCCACGAGCGTTAGGTTCTAGCAAGTGATTACTAGTTCAAGGGCGTTGAGGGAACGTGAGGAGGGAAGGGATTTCTTGTTCATCTATGATATATGAGTCACTCTTTATTTCGCCAGTCTCCTCCATTTATGCTACAGTGGCTTTTTTCTTGTAATACTATCCAGTTTAATTATCCCACAATATAGGGGCTACTGCTACAAGTGCAATTTAGTTTCTACTTGCACTACATACTTTGTTACTGTCTGCCACTGTGCATATTAGGATTTTACCTTCCTTTACAGGAGTGGTTCATAGTGACTCAGAGGATTTTCTCTATTCATCTATTTTTCCTTTTCCTTTTTCTCTCCTCTATATATCCTGCCCTGTCTAGTTAATAACCTCCTTGTTTGATACCTATCTGTAAGTGGTCTTGGAGGTCAACATATGATTGACTTTCATTGTCCACATCCACAGTGATTGTGGTGGCACTCCCCATTTTCATTATACTTTTTTTTTTTTTTTTGTGTGTGTTTGCATTATATTATTTTACCTATTATTAATAAAGGTTAAGTTTTATTTATTTATTTTTAGCATTACATCAAGGATGGGGTTTCCTCTATTGGTTGACTTAGTGTAGGGACGAGGAGTCTCCTCTTCTCTCCCTAGGTCTTCCTCTTTTTGTATTTTTTCTCAAACATATGTGAGGGTTATCCCCTCTCAGGATCCCCCTGACACACTCATAGGCTGGTTGTCTTTGGCCACTGGCTTTCTTCTCTCACGTTTACAGTTTGCACAAGAGCACCTGGATGTTCCACAACAGTACTGGCAAAATATTCTGTGGACAGATTAAACCAAAGTTGAGTTGTTTGGAAGAAACACACAACACTATGTGTGGCGAAAAAAAGGCACAGTACACCAACATCAAAACCTCATCCCAACTGTGAAGTATGGTGGTGGGGGCATCATGGTTTGGGGCTGCTTTGCTGCGTCAGGGCCTGGATGGATTGCTATCATTGAAGGAAAAATGAATTCCCAAGGTTATCAAGACATTTTGCAGGAGAACTTAAGGCCATCTGTCTACCAGTTGAAGCTCAACAGAAGATGGGTGTTGCAACAGGACAATGACCCAAAGCATAGAAGTAAATCAACAACAGAATGGCTTAAACAGGAGAAAATACGCCTTCTGAAGTGGCCCAGTCAGAGTCCTGACCTCAACCCGATTGAGATGCTGTGGCATGACCTCAAGAAAGCGATTCACACCAGACATCCCAAGAATATTGCTGAACTGAAACAGTTCTGTAAAGAGGAATGGTCAAGAATTACTCCTGACCGTTGTGCACGTCTGATCTGCAACTACAGGAAACGTTTGGTTGAAGTTATTGCTGCCAAAGGAGGTTCAACCAGTTATTAAATCCAAGGGTTCGCATACTTTTTCCACCTGCACTGTGAATGTTTACATGGTGTGTTCAATAAAAACTTGGCAACATTTCATTCTTTGTGTGTCATTAGTTTAAGCAGACTGTGATTGTCTATTGTTGTGACTTAGATGATGATCAGATCACATTTTATGACCAATTTGTGCAGAAATCCAAATCATTCCAAAGGGTTCACATACTTTTTCTTGCAACTGTATAAACACATTTCATTAAATATGGAAGATGTAATTAAAACCATATTGCATCCTGGGTTAAAATTTACTCAAAACTCCCCACTAGCTGTATATAGCTCCACAAATGCCAGCTCTATCGGTCATTGCCTTTGGATTCAGAACGTGATAAAGCTTGATGGGTGCAAAGCCCCCTAATGAGCTTAGCTCCAAAACAGCCAGAGCTGTCCTGTGTTTGTAGTTATATGGATGATTAACGATACATAGCTGTTAGTCAATTTTTAAAAGATACACATTGATTGCATGACTCACTGTACTATCCATTATCAAATGTTTGCAATATAGTGCCTATAAATAAGCCCTAGAGGTTTAAACAAAAGTCAGAATATGAAATGGGCATGTTGTGGTTTGCTAGTCCAAAGTAGTCAACAAGTTTTTAAAACTCAAAAATTACCTGATGTTGTTTGATCCTGATGAAAGTCCTCTGTGCAGGACTGAAATGTTGATCGCCTTTTAGATATTTATTAATAAATTTTGGACTTAAAATCTGTGAGTGCAGCTACCTATTTGGAAGAATGGATATTACAGCCTTGGCTTGCTAGCACCCGGTTACAAAGGGACACTAAAGCGTGAGTGCAAGAGCATTTTTGTATTTTTTTTGTATATATATATCTCAAAGTACAGTAACAATAAAATTATAGATGTATGATATATGTATAATGTATCAAAAATGCTTTAATTATTTTATAATATATTCATTACATGCTTTTATTAAAACTTCCATTTCCACTTTTTTTAGGACTGCATAGCACGCCCATCATCATTAATAGGTTAAAAGTAACTTGAATCTTTTTTTTTTTTCTTCAACCTAGATTACAATGTAACTACAATTAAAATATTACAAGGCTCTCAAAATCCCCTATTCCAAGTGAAAAACCTGGGGATTTTGTCATGCTTAGCTCCAGTTATGGAGGAAGGGGGGGTGGGCGGAAGGGGCGGGGGGGGAGACATGAATAATGAACTATTTTGGAAAGCTAATATAATTAGATGAGGGATACTTTTTACTGTTTTTATACTGATATATATTTATAGAACGAGTAAAATTTATAGTTTTACCCTCTGGATGCAAAACATTTAGCCATACATAAACAATATGAATTATAAGATTAATAATGTTTTGTTTATGTTCTGCAATGACAAAATGCAGTTGCATTAATGCATGTAGTATAGTAGATGAACATGTTGAATGAAACCATATGTGCTGTCTTGCATTGTAGAATAACTCCCTGCTGGAGAGGCCGGATCCTGATTTGACGTTGTGCTTTGAACAAACTGTACTAGTTTGGATTCCACTTATCTTCTTCTGGCTCTTTGCTCCCTGTCAACTTCTTAAACTGTGTAAAAAAGGAAAAGTTAAATCCCCCATCACTAAACTTTATATAGCTAAGCAGGTAAGTCCACGCTGTTATGCTAAAGTGCAAAAAATATAATTAATTTGAAGGAAAAAAATGACTATTTGGATTGGAGACTTATTTATTTAGCTATTTATTTTGAAATCTCCAAACAGTAGAAGATTAATGAAGAAAATAAAATGTTCTATATTTCTGCAACCATTTCATTTGTTTCAGAGCCTCACATTATTACTTCTTCTTACATCCTTGGCTGGAATAGGACTTACTGTGTCGGACCATGTTAATGGGAATTCTTCCTCTCAGTTTTTACCTACTGTTCTATATGTCAATCCCTCACTCTTTGCTGCCACATGGGTAAGGAATTCTCTTTATTTTTCCTGCATATATGTAGATATGTCTGTTAAGGTTTCTGCTCTTTGACTAATAATGTCCAATTTCTTTTATTTAGATAATGGTGCTAATTATTCATCACAGTCGGCGCTACTGTATCAGAAAGGATTCTGGAGTCCTCTTTACTTTTTGGACAATGTCTGTAATTTCTGGAATTTTCCCATTTCAGACTATAACTCGGAAGTTATTGCAGGTCAGAAGTAAAATCTTATATTAATGGGTATTTTTGTAATCTATGTATGCTATTAAAAGACTACTAAGGGCACCCAGGCTACCTCTATCCAATGACATGGTCTGCGTGCAGTGGTCCTTTAGTTTCAAACTTGTAATGTAAAAGACTGTCTTTTAGAAGATACAAGAATGCTTACCTTTAACTATGCCTCTGCCTCTAATGGCTGCCTTCCATAAGTAGACATATTTAGAATACAGTAGATGTCACTAGAATTCAGGTGCCATTAGATGTCATTAGAATGCAGCGACTAATAGACTTCATTAGAATGCAGCAACTAATAGACTTCATTAGAATGCAGGGACCAATAGACTTCATTAGAATTCAGCGACTAATAGACTTCATTAGAATGCAGGGACTAATAGACTTCATTAGAATGCAGGGACTGATAGACTTCATTAGAATGCAGCGACTGATAGACTTCATTAGAATGCAGCGACTGATAGACTTCATTAGAATGCAGCAACTAATAGACTTCATTAGAATGCAGCGACTAATAGCCTTCATTAGAATTCAGCGACTAATAGACTTCATTAGAATGCAGGGACTGATAGACTTCATTAGAATTCAGCAACTAATAGACTTCATTAGAATTCAGCGACTAATAGACTTCATTAGAATGCAGGGATGAGTAGATGTCATGTTATATATGGTTATAACAATATCTATGCCAATAGATCCAGTAAACCCCTTACCAAAGCGTGCACACACATCTTCATGGGGGAGAGTGAGCACGGATGGAATAGTGCAATGAGGTTGTGGAGGAAAAAAAACAAAGCTACATTTCTGGGGGTAGAAATACAGAAGAGTGATGGGAAACAAATTTAGGTTGTATATAAAGAACCTATGTCTTTTCATATTTCAGTCATTAACTAGTGCAGGGGTAGGCAACCTTCGGCACTCGTGTTGTGGTGGGCAACTTCTCCCATAATGCTCTTACAGCCTTAATGCTGGCAAAGCATTTGGGGAGATGTAGTCCATGTAAAAATATGGAGTGCCAAAAGTTGCCGACCTCTTTTCTATTCTGTTGATAAACCTCTAAATTTTAATTGTTCTCTTCGCTTTTTCTTCACTTGTTAGGGAGATGAGCTCGATATTGGCCGAGTGTGCCTGTTTTTCATCTCTTTTGGTCTTCAAATTCTTATATTGGTTATCTCTGCCATCTCAGAACAAAATGAGCTGACCAAGAAGGTACAGAAATAGCATGTGTCTGATAATGTTCTGTATCACATAAAAACATATAACTCATATCTATGTAACCAGTACGGACGATACTGTTAGAATCATGGGGAATTGAACAACTTGTAGAAATAATACGTTCAAGCACTTACTACGTTTTTATTAAAATTTCCATGTAATTCTTAATTACCATGCGGTAAAAAACAGTATTTGCTCATCCTATATTTAATAAAAGTAAACAATACATTTCTAATATGTATATCACTATCTCTCGATCTCTCAATACACATCTAAGGTTCGGCACACTCAACTTCAGACTAGCTTTAAAGCCCACTAACTTTTTTTATTAAAACACCAGAATTAAATAAAAGTAATAGGGATTTAGTTGTAGTGTATGATCATAATTTACATTAGACTGCCACTACATTAAAAAAAAATTTTATTTTTTTTTGGCAAGTCCTAATATATACCAAACTAATGATTGCTAAATACATAACGACAAGGAAGAATTCTGTGTTTTTCCGTGTATAAGACGCCCCTGTGTATAAGATGACACCTATTTTTTTAGCCAAAAAATTAAGAAATAAATATTTTAAACAACAGATATGACAACTTTGATATTTTCAAGGTGAACAACACACTTCTTATTCTCATGACTCCCCTTGGCTACGGTACTCTGTGAAGTTAATGGCTCAATAGTGCATGCTGAGAGACTACAGATACCACAATATAGCAGGTGGTGTGAGGGCATGCTGGGATATTAGTCGTATTCCCTCTGCTCCCTGATCCACATTTCCATCCCTATAAATTTAATCAGCAAACAAGACCTAGCTAAGGTGGAGCAAACCTTTATCTGGCTGCTCTTTTTATGGTGTTGCATGTCCCTTGAGCTCCCTTGGTGGTAAGTGCTGACGCCCCACACATACAGGGACCTCTTTCTCCTTGCCAAAACTTTCAAAAGTGGATCAGTGGGAGGGAAGCCAGGTATGTGTGTGGGCCGTGGCACAGTGAAACTCGGCAGGCATTATCTTTAGGCCCACATACAAGTGTTTATTTTAACCCCAGCAGTGACATTCCAAGTATAAGACGACCCCCAATTTAGAAATTTATGAAAAACCATAGTCTTAAACAAGGAAAATTACATTATATACTGTGTAGTCACTTCACAGTATAACTGTAATGTTATACTGCAAACAAAAGCAATGTTGGCAATTAGTGTAAAACATTTAAATGTTTTTTTATATGCTATTTAATTTATCAACTTTTTGATTTCAGAATCCAGAGCTGACAGCATCATTTTTAAGTAGGATCACATTCAACTGGTATAACAGGTAACAATGCTTTAAATTATTTGCATTATTATGGTTTACATAAAAGCCATTAGCATGTACAGCAGTGCTATATAAGTGACTTATCAAAGAATAAAGGATTTTAAAACAGGGTTATAATATATCATGGCATACTGGCATAAGAGGTTACACTATAGTATCCTAGTCACTGTTTAGGTAACGAGCCTCTCCTCAAGGTTTAAAAAGTAATTTTACTTACCTTTTATCGCATGCCATGGTGATCTTTCTGCGGCACGCCACGGCTCTTTGACTGAGATCATCAAGCTTGATGATCTCAGCCAATCCAATACTTTCCCTGGCAAAACACAGATCTACACCAAGCAGATTGGGCTCAATGAGACCATCTGAATAGAATAGTTGAGTTTTACACGCCTCTAGTGATTGTCAGAATGGCAATGTTTTTCACTTGTGGGGTTAAAACGAAGGGGACTTGACATCCACTCAACTTCATTGAGATGAAGTGGTCTGAGTGTCTATAGTGTCCTTTTACGTTTTTTCCAGAGAAGTGCTCCATGTTGTTTGTCAACTGACCGCAGTGCAGTTTTGAGAAAAAAAATATCCTTTCATCTAGTGGAGACAAGTACACCAACCACAGAAACTTCGCTCCAGTAAGTACACCATTGACATAGTCGAAACATTTCATTTGGATGTGCAAATAAAGTATGGGTGCAAATCTTAAGCATTAAGATGCATGTCTCATTCAGGGCAGCTGTGGGTCTACAAATGACATTTAGAAACCCATATATTAGCCTCCAACTCTACTGGAAGGTAATATTATGCTTTTACAACCACTTTTAGTTCATTTTAATCATATATTGGATTCCAGCTTAATTTAGTTGTTTTGGTGTGTATAATCATTATATTCAGGCATTTTCATGCAAACACTGACTTTTTAGAGAAAAGGCAGTGTTTACATTGCCCCTAGGGACACCTCAAAGTGGCCACTCCTCAGATGGCCACTGGTGTTGCTTCCTGGCTCAGTGTTGCACAATAGGCAGCTCTGCCGTTCAGCGTCCCACGCTCTGCACCCCCTTGCTGATTTTAGCCAATCCAATGCTTTCCCTATAGGAAAGCATTGGATTGGCTAAAAATAGGCAATTCTGGTGTCACCAAAACAGCGTTGCCAGTGCTGGCAGAACCGCACAGCGCTGGAAATAAGGTGAGTTTTTCATGCTTTTAAGGGGAGTAAGCGGAGGGGGGGGGGGTCAAGCCACCTTAATGGTGGGTTTTGCACTACAGGGTCAGGAATACAGGTTTGTGTTCTTTACCCTATTGTGTTCCTTTAAATTTGAGATTGGAATTATTTTTCTAACTTTTCAAATTAATTCCTTTTAAGTTATGACATAGTAAAGCTGAATGGATAAATGCAGCCACTGTTAAGGACAAATTGCCTTCTTCTCGCCACTGTACTGACAGGGTTTTTTTGTTTGTTTTTTTTAAAACTATTTAAAGAACACTTTAAGCTGGAGTTGACCTCCTCCCCCATTTTATAGAAAAAAATATATAATTGCACAATAAATGGATACTTTGGATTGAAATTCTCGCTTTTGCTGCAAAGCCCCTATGTTTGCAGCTTCTGCAGTGATCTTTCTCCAAATCAGGAAGTGGCTTTGTAAATCCTGCTCCTACTTACTTAGTTGAAATGTGTAAGTTTTTATTTCTTTGGGCTTGGAATGTTTTTTTCAATGGATATATTTCAATGTACATTTATGTGAGAATATTATTACTTTTTATTACTAGAATTATTGTAAAAGGATACAGGCATCCGCTAGAGTTGCATGATCTCTGGGAATTAAAGAATGAAGATAAGACTAAAGCCACTTATGATGTATTTGAGAAGCACATGAAGAATGAACTGACAAAAGCAAAGGCAAATTTACAGAAACGAAAAGAAATCAGAAAATACAAGGATAGTGCCATTGAAATGAATGGACTGGGAAAGGCACAAAGCCAAGACGTCTTGGTCACGGTAGCTATCTTTATGCTTTTTTTTTAAAATAAACATCCTAAATACACTTCTTGTTTATGTTCACACATACAGGTTTATTTTTTCATATACACTGGGTGAAAATGACTGAATTCTGACCGCAGAGACAATTTATTAAAGCCAAATATGGTCAGAATTCGGTAACCCTGATTGAATTTGCAGCAATTAACCGGATGCATTTGCGGTCCAGATTAAAATCAGTGCTTTCGAATCCAAATCCTATACAAATACAGACCAAATTTAGGCCCATTTGGGACCTGTTTTGCAAAATTCAGACATTGTTGAATAGCATTAAAAATGTCTGGATTTTACTGTCCAAATTGCCCCTTATGCAACCAGATGGTTTTGCCCCATGTACAAAGCTATTCAGACTTTAGGGAATAACCCATATATAGTGTATATATATCTCTGTCTGCACAGAGTTGTGTCAATAAGCTAACGTTTTCTGAAACATGAATCTATATTTGTATTGATTTTACAATTATGATGGCACTTTAAGAATAAAGGAGAATCCCTCAATGTATTTCAGCTTAATTTTTCAGCAGCCTCTCAAGATTTTTTTTTTTCTTACAATAATATATTTAAAAAAAATATGGACTCTTTAAGTTTAAGTGCAAGAGATACAATATATAATGTACAACATTGGCTTTTAATCACTATGCGACATTAATTGGTTTATTGTGTTCTAAATACGTTTGCGTATTTGTGTTATTCTGGATAGTCTTAATCACCTGACTAGCATGCTTGATCCTTCTTACTTTATCAAGCTTGGGTTTGTTACTTACTCTAAAATACACTAGTATTTTTATTTTTCTCATTTTTTTTATCTGTAACCTTTAAACCTTGAATTATGGTCTTTATAGTGGGGGGGGGTGTTCTAGAGTACGGAAAAGTGTGTGCACTAGGGCATATCTGCAAACTACTCAGTGTGCAGCCGATCAGCACAGAGAACGCAGCTAGCAAGTAGTCTTCTGTCACAGTGATAGAAGACTCTCCAAGAGAAATATTACCGGTACTTGTTGACTGGATTCTCTCATGTGATCATCTTTAAATCACAGAGAATGTCATGTAAAACATTGAAACTTCAGATCAGTTTCTCAAATTTCAGGTGCTACTATGAATTAACATTTTCTGCTGTACAAAAATCAATCACAGCTGAATTCATGTTTTCTTTTTTTTTTTTTTTTTTTTCAGGAAGAAACAAAAAAGTCAAAAAAGAAAAAAGAATCCAAGGATGGAACTGCTAAAGATTATCCCAGATCTTGGTTAATTAAAACACTCATCAAAACTTTTCCACGCATCTTACTCCACTCTGCTTTTTTCAAACTTGTGCATGATCTGCTGGTGTTTGTGAGTCCACAGATTCTCAAGTGAGTTATAAAAAGGTGACCTCAAATGTGCTTTGTTTACTATGAAGGACTGATGCATTCAGATAAGCATGCAATACATGGATCTTAATGGATGAAGAACAGTTTAAATGTACAGAGCTGCTGGTACAGCTATGTCATTATAACTGTAATTATAAAATGAAATTCTTAAAAGTTATAGCATGAGCATTGAAGCAGAAATGTGATATAGGTAAAATTGGACATTGTTAAGATGTAACCAGTTTGACTCATACAGAGAAAGTCCTGCTCTTTTTATGTTGCCTATATATATATATTGGATTGGCTAGACTGGAAATGACAGTTTGTTTGATGTAGCATTTTTGTATTTAGGTGGCATATAGTACTTTTTAAGGCCCTGCCGGAGACGTGTGTGGTTAATACCTGTGTCTCTATCCCTGCTCCATCAATATCTCACAAATTGTCTTTGTTAAAAAGACACTATAGCCACCAAAACAACATTAGCTTAACCCCTTAAGGACCAAACTTCTGGAATAAAAGGGAATCATGATATGTCATGTGTCATTAAGGGGTTAAAGAATCAGTTTTAGTGTATAGATCATGCTCCTGCAGTCTCACTTCTTAATTCTCTGCCATTTAGGAGTTATATCACTTTGTTTATGAAACCCTAGGCACATCTCCCTACATATGACTTACACAGCTTTCCTAAACACTTCCTGTAAAGAGACATCTAATGTTTACACTTCCTTTATAGAGATGTCGCGAACTGTCTGCCGGCGAACAATAGCGTGTTCGCGTTGGGCGAACATATGCAATTTCCGGTCCGCCCCCTATTCGTCATCATTGAGTACACTTTGACCCGGAACCTCACAGTCAGCAGACACATTCCAGCCAATCAGCAGCAGACCCTCCCTCCCAGGAAGTGTTTGCTGACTGTGAGGTTCCGGGTCAAAGTGTACTCAATGATGCCGAATAGGGGGCGGACCGGAAATCGCATATGTTCGCCCAACGCGAACACGCTATTGTTCATCGGCGAGCAGTTCGCGACATCTCTATTCCTTTATTGCAAATTCTGTTTAATTTAGAATGTCTTATATCCTGCTCTGTTAATAGCTCGGTAGACCTTTAAGGAGTCTCCTGTGAGGGATTAGAGTTAATTTTACAAAGCAGGAGATAAAAACTTTTAAAGTAAGTTACATCTGCTAAAAAATGAAACCAGTCAAAGCCAGAGGAGGTGTGCATAAACAGAAACAATAGTGATTTAAAGGTTCAGGAATGCAAATGTGCATGTATTATTTCCAATGCCACGCAGGTCCGCCGGCTCTAGCCCCACCCCAGATCCGCCTCATTGGCTGACATCATCAGGATTGATGATCTCCGCCAATAAAATGCTTTCCCACAGGCTGAGATTGTTAATTCTGATGATCTCAGCTAAGGAGGCTGGGCAGGGTGTGTAGCCAAATGCCTCGCTGTCCAGTCAGCATATCCATAGAGATGCAGTGAATCTGCATGGAGAAGATGAACGTCAGTGCTGAGCGTTGTGCAGAACCGACACAGGAATTACCTCTAGTGGTCATCTGAGTGACTGCCACTGGTGGTGTCCCTAAGTTACAATGTAAACACCGCCTTTTATCTGAAAAGTCAGTGTTTACATTAAAAAGCCTGCCAGGACAGGCAGTAGACACCATAACCACTACATTAAGCTGTAGTTGTTCTGGTGACTATAGTGTCACCTAAACTACAGAGAATTGAGCATTGAGACTTCAGAGACATGATCTATGCACGAAAATTGCTTCATTAAGCTAAAGCTGTTTTGGTTACTATAATGTCCTTTTAAGGATGTTTTAGAAATGTATATGTATTTGTGTGATATATATCTCACAAATACCCCAGAACGGGTCAAAACAGTTGTATTTTTGTATTGTTGTATTTTTGATGTCACTATAAAACACCATTTGCACGCTCTGAAGACTTGTAAGTGCTCCCTAAACTTTGCTTTTCTATATATCTAACGCGGTATTGCACCCAGGCAGATTTCTTAATTACGTTTCTTGTTGGTAGTGTGCCAAGTAGAATTTATATTGAAATTATATATATATGTATATAGCAGTATGCAGGGAGAATACTACATATTACTTTAACCCATTCATTGTCCCCTCCCTGCTAAAATGTTGAAGAAATCCATGTTTGTTCTTTCCTTTGTAGGTTAATGGTGTCATTCACAGCGAATCCTGCAGAATATCAGTGGCGGGGATTTTTCTATGCAATCTTGCTACTTGTCACAGCTTTGATTCAGTCCATCTGCCTCCAGCAGTATTTTCAAGGCTGCTTTGTCCTGGGTATGAGAGTCCGTACAACCCTGACAGCTGCGGTGTATAAGAAGGTATGTTTTGTCATACATGGGTTTATCTTAGCACTAATGCCGACTGTATATAACTCATGCTTTGTTCCTTCTGCAGGCGCTGACTGTCTCAAATTCTGTAAGAAAAGAGTCTACTGTGGGTGAAACCGTGAACTTGATGTCCGCCGATGCACAGAGGTTCAATGATCTAACCAACTTCATTCACTTGCTGTGGTCATCCCCTTTGCAGATTGCAATTTCTATACTCTTTCTCTGGCAAGAGCTAGGTCCATCTGTGCTGGCCGGACTTGCCGTCATGATCTTGTTGATACCCATCAATGCAGTCTTAGCCACGAAATCAAAGACACTTCAGGTTAATATCTCCTTCAATTCATTGAAACCTCATTACCTTTAGCTCTTGTTGGGCTTTAACCTTAAGCAAATTCCTAAATACCTAAAGTTGTGATCCTTGTGTGCCGTCCTTTTTACATTGTTGTTTAGCATTTGCCTGAGACTACAACTGTATATTTTGAGGTTTTATCTTGTTTTTCGTTTCAACTGTTGGCAGTCCTTTCTCACTTTATTGGCCTGGACGCAAAAGATTTGCCAACATGTTTGGCCAGCATTCAGTCACATCAACTCCCTTTTGCCACACTCTGACCACTGTTTTTTTCCTGTCCATATTTATTTCCTGCCCACATTATATCGTCTGATTTTTGATCTGCTGGTGTTTGTGAGTCCCTATAGCATGGGTGTCAGAGAAATGGAAGGCATGTTTCCCTAGATCAATTTCAGTATATTATAAGGTTTTGTGTTTTACAGATGAAAAACATGAAGAACAAAGACAAGAGGTTGAAGATAATGAATGAAATTTTAAATGGCATTAAGGTGAGATGTCATTTATTAAGTACATTGCATTTTAAACATTTCAGAGGACTGATCCAACCTTTCTCTTTACAAAACCCATAAACTTGTGTTGACCAATACACATCAGTGATATAGATCATAAGGAATGAATGAAAAGAGGATTGAGGATTTAAGATTTATTGTTAGAAAAATAATAACAGGCTACCTTTCAGTAGATACGGCCTATTAAAAAATGTTTAGTTTTTTTTAATACATCATTTGCAACTAAAAAGTTACCCATAGATGGCAGCACTTATACATTTGTTAAATGTATATATTTTTAATGTATTCAGATATCTATTGTATGCCCATGTCCTGTTTTGGCATTGTGCACATGTTCATCATTGCTACAGAAGCAATTTGTCTTTATTATTGACCTGAAATATACTCTTCAACAGATACTTAAGCTGTTTGCGTGGGAACCATCATTTGAGAATCAGGTTCAGGAGATTCGAGAAAAGGAATTAAAAGACTTACTGCACTTCACTTACCTTCACTCTGTGTCTCTGTTTATTTTTACCTGTGCGCCATTTCTGGTAAGAGTCTAACTAATCTCATAAACTTATTTGAAAAGTGCCTTTTCCACCTCTAGTCTTCGTTACTATTCTGTACGTCAATTCCCCATTCTATAATTGGAAAACGCTGTGGAATATGTTAGCGCCACATAAATACTAATGATATGTAGTAATGACAAGAAGATTGAGCATTGGTACACCCCTCTTGTTTTGTTTTTTTAGAATTACTGAACTTCTTCATTCCACCTTAAGTGGTTACCTGGTTAGTTCCCTTTAAACTTTATCTTTACATCATTTGGGTTCTACTAAGGTGGTTGTGGCAAACCTAGCCACTTGGACATTATTTCTGTACTGTCTCTTTAAGGGTTGCCGGTATGGGGTTCCTATTGTGTGTTCCAGCATGTACTGTAATGCAATGTTAATAATGTATTGCCTGCCTGGGCTATCTGCCGAACGCAGATAGCTGATTCCCCTTCGTTTCATGAACGGCACCTTTGCAGGCCGTTCGGGAACCGAACAAAATACCATTTAATAGCCCACACACTTAGAGGCGTGTGGCGCCTATTAAACAATGTTGCAATCGGTAATTAGAGGCTCTCCTGGGTGGCCGTCGTTCGACTACTGACCATGCGGCGGTCGGCCATCTTGGATCCTTTGTTCCCTCAGCGGTGTTTGGTCGTCAAGCGCGTGGTACTAAAAATGGCTACTCGACGACACGAACACTGCTGAGCCTCCAGACCGTTCGGGAGGTCCGGGACATTCGGAATTTTGTTCCCTTATATGTAATCGGTAGTTTAAGGCTATGTGTTAGTGAATGTGTTTTTCGTGCGGCGTTCGGTTGTTTTAGCTGGGATCTGAGCGGTAATCTCACGAATGATGCGCTCAGACCCCAGCTATCTATCGAACGTCCATTCGTTTAAATGAACCAGATCTTCATGAAGTTATTGAATTTAATGTGAATTGTGAGTTCTGCTGCACGGAGGGATAATCCACTTAACGGTATATTCCAGTGGGAGGATCCCTCTCCTGCAGCAGTGCCTGATGGGAGAAATGTCCTGTAGTGTAAGTCCCCCATGTAGTCCCCTCTGGGAATGCCCCTGGGAGGGGACTCAGGAAACCCCTTGCATGGGGACTTGTATAAATTGTGGAGCTGAATTAAAAGACCTCAGTTGACTCCCAGCCTATGTGTCGTCTAGTTCTTGGGAAGGAAGGGTTACTGCAGAGCTGTTGGATTATTGTATGCTGATTCCCCTGGATTATCCTTTGTTGTTCCTGTTACCCAGCGGAGATATCGTGGATTATACTGCCTCTCCGCTACAGTGGTATTCCAGCCAAAAGCCTGAATGGTCCCATTCAGACTGCAGCATCCAAACATTGTTTATACATAATGTCTGTATATTGCATTTTAGGCACTAAACAGGCCTGAATTGGGTTTAGATTCCAGCTAGACCAAACACTACTGGACGTGTGAAATCTGGACAAACTATTTGTCCGCTGACACATTAAATAGGTAACTAAATAAATAAGTAAACCCTACAGGTGGGGAGATTTTAAACCTCCTTTATAATAGCAATAGTCAGCAGCCCCATAATTAATGCTCACAGCGCTGAGGGTTTTTAACTATTTACTTACTGACGGTTAGCGCTGCCAGTGGGCATATAGTACTTGAAATTATCCATTCGCTTGCAAAAAACAAGTGAATGATCATTTGCAAATGAGTAACCAGTCAGATGGATTTGGTCCAAACATTTAGTAAAACGGTGCTTTGTGTATCTTCTGGATCCGATACTTTGTATAGTACTCAGGCGTAAAAGCCCTGTGAAGCTCAGGCTTTGACCTCAAACAAACCTGTAATGTAATGGGAGGTGGATTTAACCCATTAATTTATTAAACTGGGAACTCTGTGACGTTAAAAAAGGAATTAAAAATACTATGCTTTAATAGCCAAGTGGGAAAACTGAAGTTTTCCTATTATTTTGTCCTAAAACTTACACTTCCCATTTTAATTCTCCACAATTTAATATTCTGCTGAATAAACATTGCCATTATTTTCCGATGATTATTCCTCCTAACTCCCCAGATCTCCTATACCACACCTGTACTTTACTACACAGCCTCCTATCACACTGGCAGAATAACTGTATCATGGGATTAGCCAAGCTATCCCATATACATGTGCCAACTCTTGCCGACATCCTGGAAGCCAATGAAAAAGAGGGCTACAATAATGTTATTGAGTTTCTAATCAACCAAATATTTATAAAGCATAGTCTGTTTAAACAAAAAACTGCAATAAATACTTATCATCTCTCATGAAATTTAAAGTTAACTTAAACATGTAAAATCAATTATCTCATTATAAAACAAACAAAAACATATATATATACAAATTGAATAGATATACAAATCATTGGAAACTATATAAGGGCTTAGTCAACCTAGTGTTTTGATGTTCTGTTCTTTCGTGTTTTCAAGAAATGACATGTTTCTTAGATTCTTTTAAGATTTCTTATTTGTTTTTTTTTTCTTTTGCATCTATAGGTGTCAGTTGCCAGTTTTGCAGTCTTTGTCGGGATAGATGCAGATAATCTCTTAACCGCAGAGAAAGCATTTACATCGATATCTCTGTTTAATATCCTGCGGTTCCCTCTGGCTATGCTTCCCATGCTTATTTCCAACATGGTGCAAGTAAGTAAGAAATCACTTAGCATAACATACATTAACATCACTTAAGCATGTTCTATTTATTATTATTATGATTTCATTCATTATCCTTTAAATTTGAATTAATTATTCAAGGCATTTATGATAAAATAAATAAATAAATAAATAAATACAAAAATATAAATATATATATAATTTCACTTGTGGAAAGGGATTGGCTAGCACCTAAAAGATAAAACAAACATCTTGAATGCAAGTACGGTATGTTCCCACTTCTCATCAAAAAAGAAGGTAAAGAAAAGGAATAATTCTTGAAATATTTAAAAACACATATATTTTTATGAAGAAAAAATAATAAATATAATGGTGAAGGGTTATATGAGCAAAAAATATTAGTGTATCTTGCACGAGTAATTTAAAACGTAAGCAGTAGGTATTCCAGTACCAACTTAACATTGGCTATTGAATATACAAAGAAGCATGTTCTTTGTCTTAAATATTTTTTAAGAGGTTGTGGACACAGGACATAAACTTGTCGCTGTCTAAAATTGATCAGTTTAATTTTAACTGCCATCCATAAATTGAGTGCTGTCTTGTCTAATTTCCCTCATAGATATTTGAGTCATTGTTTTCAGAGGTTCAATTAGCTAGACTAGAGATTGTTTTAACAATAATCATCAGGAAGTAGAGATTGTCCTCTTTATTTATTTATTTTTGTTATAGTATGGCAACATTTTTAAAATGGTTTCATTATACATTTTCAATTACCAGCTAGTTAGGCATCTTTCCACTTTGCTACATTTCACCTGTTCTTCCAATAGTAACTCCAACATGCTCCTGGTTGCTTGTTAAAAGCCGGTTGCTCATTATTATTATTATAGGTTATTATGATGATACTTTTTTTTGCGTTTAGCTATAGTTGTAGGAAGTATAATGCTTCTGATATTACATTGCTTAAGCTACGTATCTGTGATTGTTCAGACGAGCGTATCTTCTGGACGTCTGGAGAAATATTTGGGAGGAGATGACCTGGACTCATCAGCTATTCGTAACGACCCCACTGTTGGTGAGCAGACTTATTCATTTTATCTGTGATCGTGTATGTCTATGTGATTGTTGTAATCACTGAGAATTCATTGGTTTCTATTATGTCTGTTTGTAGATAACATTTGCATACATACGACAAAGGAATGACAATAAAATTATTACAAAATAACGCATCACCTAAAGAATGGAAGAGTGGGAGTTAATAGCTAGAAATATTTAGTTCTAAAAAAGGTACCAGGTGCAGTATCCTCTAGTGGAAACAGTAGTGGTTAACACAGTTAGGAAATCACAAATTTCTAGGGACAGATTAAAGGTATTCTAAAAAAATCAGTCCAAGATTTCATTACAAGTTGCATACATGGATCAATAGCATCAATCCCACCAGGCAGCACAATCTTCTTGTTTACTGAATTTAATGAGATATAGACATATTTATTTATTTTAAATAGTCGTGTGACTTGTAAAGTGAAATAATAACATTTTCTCTTCAGATGCTGCTGTTACATTTTCTGATGCCACTTTCACTTGGGAAGAAGATGAGCCCCCGGCAGTCAAAAAGTAAGCAGGGTTAACGGTAACCTTTTAGAAGGTGCAAGGGCGCACAGCTCTCCCACATTAACTGTGTCTCATTGTATATTGAAATCATAATTTATTGGTTGCCTCTATTTGTGTAGTATTAACCTGGAAGTTAAAGAAGGCCATCTGGTAGCTGTGGTTGGTGGTGTCGGGTCTGGCAAGTCCTCCCTTGTCTCTGCAGCGCTTGGAGAAATGGATCACATCAGCGGATACATCAATATTAAGGTAGACAATGGTAACATTTTCACAATTCATGCTTTGCCGTGCTGTCTTGCTTTAATAGCTAATACAAGAAACCAGCGAGTGAGAATAATAAAATGGGATCTCATCTCTTTTGCTTTCATTTATATTTCTTGGCATGTGAGCATTTTCAGGCATTGGAAAATAGTTACAAGTCCTGAATACGGTAAATACAAACACTCTCTATCATTGGTTGAGTACCTCTGTGTTTTTGATTTCTGGATGTCTTAGGATCTATAGATAGCACCTGTATTTGTGTAGTTTTATTAAGGCATCTGTCACTTATTAAACTGCACACTTTCATTTTCTTTCTAACGACCATTTCTCCTTAATGGATTTAATGGTTTATTTTCCTTATTGTCAGTTTTTTCACATGTAAAGCCATGAATTACAATGTCAAGGATTTTCATCTCTTAAAGATGAGCAATTGTAATAATTATTATTTTTTTCTTTAGGGTTCAATTGCCTATGTACCTCAGCAAGCCTGGATCCAGAATGATACTCTGAAGAACAATATCCTTTTTGGTGCCAAGTACGACGACAAACGATACAAAAGTGTTCTGGAGGCATGTGCTCTCCTCCCTGATCTGGAGATGCTTCCTGGAGGGGATCTCTCTGAAATTGGTGAAAAGGTAATATTCTGGGAGTGATAGTACAACAGTAATGCAAGAGCTAATACTTCTATTTCCAAAACCATATTCAGATAAGTTTCCAAAACCATATCTGTTTTATTTATTTAATACTTTTGTCTGGTAAATTAGATGTATGGGTTCATGCACTGGTTTTCCTAAATAATTATTAATATTTTTTTTAATTCTTTATTTTTTGATGTGTATGAAAATAACAGGCAGACTTGCTATGCCTCATCAGCTCTAGCAAGGTGTTGTAACTACATAGTATAAGAACAGAAAGGCGTACACGAATAGCTACACATTTTTTTAAGTAAGTAAGACTAGAAAACAAGGTCATGCATGGCTGGTCACGAATCTGATGGTGAATTTAACCCCTGAATACCAAGATGTGCAAACATGGTGTGATGCAACAAAGTGAGGGCGCTAGGCAGACTAATCAATACTCATTTGTCATAACAAATCGGCTTTCATACGACTAGCCTACTCCTCGTTCATGTTAGCATGGGAATTATGGACTCCGAGCATAATTGACTAGAGAGCTTTATATAGCATTAAAATCCCCTGGACGGTAGGGCGCACAATCAATAATACAGCAATGCTTGGTAATGAGAGCTGTGTAAAATAGTATGAGAACAAACAGAAACTAAATAAACTATTAATCGGCAAAGAATTAAGGGTCTCTTGTTGGACATGGCATATTACTTGTTGTATACCATGATCAATGAGGAACTCTGGTTGCAGGTTTGGTTACCCGGTCAGCCGATCCCCAACAGCGGTAGATGTGGTTTATGTGTAGGGAAGTCCCGGTGAGTATCTACCAAAATGTAGCAATCTAGGATTCTCCTCCAGGCCCAGGCCTGTGTGAGGACCAGCATCACTAGTCCACTCCAAGACCAAGTTCTTCCCCTGTCTGGGGTGAGCAGAGGTCGTGTTGGTATGCTCCACTTACAGCGGATGATCTTCCACTTGTGTGGCAGATGCAGGGAGGCAGTGCCTCAAAATCGGTGAGATTTGCTGGAGCCCCGGGAACACATGTCTGCTCTGCTATCAGGCCAAGCTCTCCGCTCCTCCCCTTCCCTCCCCCCCCCCCAAGGGTGCAAAAATAATAAAGTTCTGCCTACCACAGTGTCCGATATTAGGCTCTCATTTGCACGGCCTTCACCACTGGCCCAGAGGCTCACAGCGTGGAGGAGGCCTCGGAAGACTCCCAGGAGGAAAGAGAGAACCTTACCTCGCCTCCGACGAGGCCCTGTCCCAAGATTCAGACACTGAAAAGGACTCTGCCCCAGCGTCGATTAGAGATATCAAAAACCTCCTGATAGAAATGAGAAAAGTTTGATAGACCTGCTCAGTACACAGAGAAAGATGGAAGCTCTCCAGCACAGGATCACGGCAGTGGATACCAGAGACAGTGCCAGTGAGCACCAGATAAAAAGCACCCAGGATCAAATACAAGACCTTACTCAACAGGTCCATAAACTGCCAGCCACCCCATGTTTGTTCTATTAAGAGTTTCTAAGTATGTAGGGGCAGCACCCCTTCCTGTCTCAACAGAGAAATTTGCCTTTTAGCTGATACCAGCAAGGTGATTTGTATGTGTTATAGCCCTATTTAGGGTTAATAAGTATGTAAGGGTTTATAAAAACCCTTCCTGTCTAATTAGATACGTTTACCTTTGTCTGATACCAGCAAAGTTTATTGCATGCGTAGAAGCCCTATAAAGGGTTAAATGTGAAAGGGTTTCTAAAATACCCCTTCCTGTCTTATTGGAGATTCTGGCTGATATCAGCAAATCTAATGGCTAGTGTAGGACTCACCTTTTGAGGCTTGCCTTGACGTGTCAGGTGAGCTTATATTCAAATGGCCATTGGAATAAAACTAATGAACCTCCATTTTATTTAAATGTACATAGGGATTTGGCCCAGAGCATAGGTAACTTTCTCTTTTGTTTTTACTATGTATTTTAAACTGTTCGATACTAAGCCACTGCTGCTGTAAGCGCGGTGCTTTATTTTGTGTTGGGTCCAGAAACTTAACAAGACCGTCACAACAATTGAGTCCAG